GGAAGCACCGGACACTATCCTTTACAAGGATGTGCTCCAATTCGACATATATGTCCAAGAAGGCATCACCCACAAACTAGATGAGTCCATCACAATTGAAAAAGGTGAAAGGCATCAGTTATCCAACTAAAAAGCACAACAAAATAAACTGTCTTTTGGTATATGGAGGTGCTGACAACAACAATTGAAACAACAAAACCTTGTAACGCAAGCAAGTTGGTGTACGCCGAAGATAAAACCAAACATGAGGCACCAACAAGGAGGGAAGAAAAAGTAAGGGGATCTAAAGCTAGCATGGTTCAGGCATGTGAATCCACATGTTCCTATCCAAGGTTCGTATATGACAACAACAAACATATTGTTTCAGTAGACTGAAGTACCCTATAATATTACCAGGTTAAACAAAATAACTAATGTAATGGGATGAGTCATCAATCAAATTATGTAAATGAAGGTAACACAAACCTTTGGAGCAGGGTCTGGGATGATTATGTCGTTTGCCATGGACTTGGCGATCTTAATGTCCCTTTCTAGCATAAGCTGAAAGAAAGAATGTCAGGAGTCAGCGCTGGGAAAGAAACAAAATAAGGGGAGAGGAATATCACACAGATGGATAGTTATCATACCTCCTCAACCTTTTCCAAATCAAAATCCTCAGTGATTTCAAAACAAGGGACAGGGGGCGCCGGATAATCATTTCTTACTGTAATTGCTTTATCCTTACCATTAACGTTATATTTGCTCAGGGCAAGTAACTCGCTTTTCCGCGGTGCATCAGATTTCAATTCCATCCTTTTGTTTTCCTGAAACAAGAAAGTTTAATCTCGAATTATGTTCGAAACAAGATTACTACAAGGGCCACTGAAATAAATCCAGGAAGACCCTGAGATAAAATGAGTCCTATCTAAAATGGGTCACGGATCACTGAGACATAAAACATATGCTGCAAATAGAAACGATGCATTAACTCTGTAAACAAATCCTGAAATGTCACAATGCTACGTGCGAAATGAAGGGCGACAGAAGTTTCTCAGATACAAGTTGAACCAGGTGCTAGAAACTCTGGCGCATAGACATTATGGAAATCCAGAACCAAAAGCTCAATTTGATGTTACAGTTCAACAAGTATAAACGATATTCGCTGGTTAATGACTCCCACGAATAACAAAATCGCCCTTGCTGATGCCACCTGAAAGCACAGCGAGACATCTCGCATGCAAGGAACGACTACCAACTAAACAAAAAACAGTAGCCGCATTTTGAGTACTATCATGTTTACTTTCATACTGTATAAAAAACGCGTCATGAATCAGTGGTCATGCATACAACTGCAGAGTACATACTACTGCCAACAGAACAAGGTGCGAGAAAATCAAGCTTTCAGTCCAATGTTCAGATTAGAGAACCGTCAGAGAGAGTTTTATATTCAGATCGGAAGCTAGATCAATCAAGAAGGACGCGACAGTGATAATAATTCATCTAGGGCTTTACAAGCAGCTTTGGTCGACCGTAATCCGTAAACGTAACAGAGATGGCCCTACGAGGGCAAGATTCAGCACGCACAGAAGCCGTGCGTAACAGATCAGATAGCAAACGAGAAGGAGGCGATGCGCGTGCGGCGGGAAGAGCGGTGCGCGTGCGGCGGGAAGAGCGGTGCGCGTGCGGCGGATCTGGAAGGAAGGAGGCGACGGCGCGTATGTCGGCCAACTCGCCTCGCGCCGGCACACTGTATCTGGCGGCTGGGAAGGGGGGAGTTTTTTTTTCTTTTTGAGAGAGAGAAGGCCACGTGCGATCAAAAAGGCACACTGAAATGATCAGACCTGGCCAGCACGGCCCACCCAGACACGCCTAATACACGGGCCAGCACTCGTGCCGCGCTCCGGGCCCAGACACAGCACAACAAAGAAACGGATCAGCCTGATTTTAGGCTACTTCATTGATATAAAGCCTTTACCAGTGACAAGGGCCACATACTTCTCGCAAAAAAAAAAAGACAAGCAGCACATACTGCTCACTGGTATAACTTTTTAGATTTTAAGGTTTGAGCTATGGTTAAGGTCTGATTTTTTCTACATTCATACCGAAGGCTCCAAACCTTTTCTACATTTAACTTCCAACATTACGAAGTAGATGTCAAAGTTATGCATTTTTCGCAATTGATTTGTTAGTTTTTAGACAGTAAATGATTATTAGGGTATTTAATGGATATAATTGAAATTTGAACTACAAGTATATATAAAAAAATGCCTACAATTTGGAAGAAAATCATATTTAAATTCTTAAGTACCTTGCATGGTAGGTGTTATACAAGAGATGTATGGAAAATTAAAGTTTTTTAGTTGGCAAAATTTAAACTCTTAGTTGCATTTTAAAACAAATGGTTTTAAAAATTTTAAAAGGTAAATTAAATATAAAAAACATGAAATTCGGCCTGGCACCATGATTTGCAGGGGCTTGTGTTTAAAATTTCAATCAGTTCCACAAAAACTTGGGCTTAGGTTTTACATTGCTAGAAACTGAAGCATCCCCGGGGAAGCATCATATGTTTAAAAGTGAAATTATGAGGTTTGAAGTCGAACTCACAAGCGCTTCATCATTTCAACATAAAAATTGTATTGCAACATGATATTATACTATTCTATACTTATATACCTCCATTTCGATCTTGTTCTGTAATACTTTGAATTTTCTACTTTTTGAAATAGGGAGTTAAGGCACCATACGAAGTATGCACGTACAAAAAATATTGATCCCGAAGGCTCCTAATATTAAAAAAAACGAAAATACAAAATTTAAGAGTTCATGTCAAAATTAGGCATCATTCCGGGTTGGTTTGCAATTTTAGGCGTTAAAATGGATTTATAGGTATTTAAGGGATATAATTCAAATTGGAACTACAAGTATATTTAAAAGTGCCTACAATTTAAAAGAGAAACAAAACATATTTATGTTCTAAGTATCCTGGGAGATATTAACAGAGAGATGTATGAAAAAATTCAAACATATAGTAGGTTGCGTTTAGTTTTTGTTCAGTAGAAAAAGGTAAATGAAGTCTAACAAATATTTAAAAAATTCATGGTGCCATTATATGACCTAAGGAGGTTTTGTTTAGAATTTCAAATAGTTTCACAAAACTTGGGTTGTACTCCCTCTGTAAAGTAATGTAAGACTTTTTAAACCACTATAGTAGTTTACAGAGGGAATACATTGCTAAGAAATTGAAGCATCTTCGAGGAAGCATCGTAGCTTTCAAGAGAAAAAAAAATGAGGTTGAAGTCGAACTCGCAGTTGTTTCACCATTTCAACTTGAAAATTAAACTACAAAATGATATTATACTAAATGTACTTTCATTTTTCATCTTGTTTTGTAATAACTGGATTTTATATTTATTAAAATAGAAAATTAAGGCACCATTCCGACCAAATTGTCCCATGTGCTTTGCATACCCGCTTCTTCCTCTTCATGTCCAGTCTCTATATAATCCGCCCCTTCTACTTATGGCTTTCCATGTCCTACTTGTTTCGACCCTTGGTTGGCACAACCTCATGTTCCTCGCCATGTATAACTTGCCATGAAACCCCAGCGTAACAAGTTCTAGTGCCCTTTCACACCATATCTCACTCGTCAAACGCAAATAACTCATGAGGATTTGGAGCTGGTGCAGGGAAGAGGAAGGTGGAAGGAGGTGTGGAAAGTTGGGGACAAAAGGTAAGGCTGGCAATGAGAAGGTCGAGTGGCAGCACGACGGGGCTCTGAGATGACGCATGGCCATATGCAGGAGCTCTGGCGACGACACAAGTACGAGAAGATCATTCCGGGTGTCGGGGATGGTGGCGGGGGTCTAGCCATGAGCGGCAGGTAGACGCAGCAGTGACGGAGGGGTGTTGTCTTCTTATAATGGAGGTTAGCCCCATAAACAGTGCTGTTGCTGGGGACCATGCTAGAATTGCTCTAATTATGTATACATAAGATTGACTCGTTGGTTTGGCAACTTCAAAATAGTACCCCTTGTTAAAACTTGTTTTTACGAACAGGCAACCTAAAATGCCCTTCTTTTTCATTAATATTCGAAAGCAACATGATATACAAGAATAGGAATTGAATGAACTCAATACATACCACCAAAAACTGCTCCTCCCTTACCTACCTTGAGTCAAGGCATTTCCCACAATTTCATCTCTTCAATGGCTAGATCGGCAACTCTAAAAGGAGAGGAGGTAATGCCATCAAAAACTCTAGACCTCCTTTCAAGTCGGATCATCCTCATGACTGCAATAGAAACTACCACGATTTCCTTTCCATGTCTTGGAGGAAGCCTGACTCGTGGCTGAGAGAACCGCCTTGAACAACACAATCTCCCCATTGTGGGTGAGCATGGAGGTCGACCATATAACTAAGCGGTGAGCCACTTGACCGAAATATGATGATACACTTCGCAACAAGGAAAAAATGAATGAAACATTATGAAACAAGATAAATTTTTAGTACAACAAGAAATTAGCATAAATCTCAAAGCAACAACGGACGGTGCCGGGAGATCCATGTACGGGATGTTCCCTGCATGGTAGAAAACCCACTCTCGTTTTTTTGCACATTCATGAGATTGCTACAATACATGGAACATTTTGCATTCTAACAATATAGTCACGTAAGTCTGAGAGCTTTTTTCTGAATGATTTCGAGATCGCTCACCATGCCATCGTGACGGAAACTTTAGAACATGTTCGACTTATAAAAGGTAATGGGACAAATATACGAAAATGCTAACTATATATTTCGTTCAATGAAAAACAAAGACGGCAATAAAAAGAAGTACATACAATTCCCCATATTGGATCTGAAGGCTTAACCATGGGGCTAACTTATTCAATCTTATTACAATTGCATGCGAGATTAACCCGAAGCTTGAGTACATGTCTTTTGCTGAGAATTATTAAATTTTGCTAGCATGCATATATCAAAATATATATTGAGCCTTTCAGGGAAGGCTCCCAGGAAATTAAAACCCAGCGGCGAACTTGGACTTGAGAAGTTCCACGACCCCGGCCTCCACCCGGAGTGCCTTGGTGAGCACCGGCGTTGGGATGGGTGGATTGGAGCCGAAGAGCGTGAGTGGCACGAAGACGATGCCGGGGTTCTGGCTGTTGAAGGAGACGACCATGGAGGCCTCGGTCTTCCCGACATTGAACTGGAAGTGCATGAGGCCCCGCGGGATGAGGAACGTCTCTCCGGCGCGCACCACCCTGGAGTAGAGCTTGTTCCCAGAGTCAAGGCTGCCGAGGATTCCAACGAGGAGCTCACCTTTCATCACGATGCCGATCTCGGTGGCGCGGGGGTGGATGTGCGGCGGGTTGGTGCCCCCCGGCGCGAAGTCCACGCGGTTCATCGACACGCCCAGCGTGTTCGTACCGGGCCACTCGGCCACGTCGAGCTCCGTCACAGCCGAACCGTTTGGGGTCGATGTGTTGCCGGCCTTGGCCAGCTTGGACGAGAAGAGGAAGTCGTCGCCGGCCTCCGACATGGGCTTGCACGTGTGCCCGTTCACCGAGACCGCCTTGCCGTCGAGGTCGGCGACGCAGAAGTCCTGGAGAGGGTCAGGGTCGGTGGCCAAGACGGACGGAGCTAGGAATAGCATGGCGAACAGGCAAACTGCTGGAGTTTTGGAGTACCCCATGCTTGCTATGCGACAAGCTTAGCTAGGACTGATCAGCTAGAGTTTGTTGATGGAGAGTGTCTATGGCACTGGTAGTTGTTGCTGCTAAGCTGTGGTGGATGAGTGAGTGGTGTGGCATGTGGAGTCCTTTATATAGGGGATCGGTGCACGCAACGGATGCATGGAGCTAGCTATGCATGTGCCTGTCGTCACTGCATGCATGTGCAAATGGACACACACGAGGCAGAGAGTTATTAAACATAGTATATTAGTTGCGTCGAGATCGGCTAACTTGTGCTGAAAATGGGTGCAAGGCCATAGTCAAGGCCACTGCCGGCTGCTAAGGAAATGGGACCAACGAACAGAGACAAGGAGGAGGTGTATCTGAATGGAGTATTGCGCGTTCATAATATTCGTGCACACCTCTACTCGTCAATCATATGAAACTGAGGGGCGTCCTAGCTGATATGGTGAAATGCCAGGGTCTTGACATTCCTCATCAAACAAGTAACCGCCACAGTGCATGCGAGGATTTCTCCCGTCGTAAGAAAAATATAAGAGCATTTAGATCACTACTTTCGTTCTTCTTGTGTTTGGGAGAGTGCGATCTGTGTTGCCATTTCAACCGAACATGCTATTTTCCTCGCCGAAGCAACGTGCAAGCTATTCTCGACCCGCAACGCAGCCGTTGGGTGGTCCGCCGGTTTATCTCTAGTTGTGTACTCACGTTTAGCGCATAGCAGTAGCACGATCGATGGTCAGAAATGGGAATCTTCTGGCCGCGGCGTACCTACCCTGAACTGGACCTGGCTACGGTCTCTGTCAAATAGATCTCTTCTTGTTTTGTTTCTCTTCTCGAACCATGACTTGTGGCCAATAATAGCACGTTGGCACAGAGAAGGGATTCTCTTTGGCCACGACTGATCGATCAATGAGCAAATGAAGTGCAGATATTGGGCCCTGCCTGTCTCCTTGCACTTTAAATATTCGATTGGCCAAGAAGATATGGCGCCAGCGAAACAATGAAAACATGATTGGCAGTGGCGATCAATGTGGGGCTGTTCCGAGTCAGACTTTCTGACCCTGATCCATCCATGTCTCCAGTCTCCGGAGTAACCCCGGTTGCTGTCTCCCGCGCACACCTGCATGGCCGCATGTCACCGACCCATCAGTCGTCGTCGATCGAGGCCTACCGCTTCTCACCTTCCCGTGTGAACTCAGCTCAGAAGGAAGACCATTTTCTACCGATTGTTGCTGCGAGCTGCGCCTTCATCTACAACATCCAAAGCCACATTTCCATGTACGGATGTCAATTTTATCCATGAACACGTAAATACTTGACCCATATCGATTGGGTATGGGCACATTTTCATGCCATGGGCAATATCCAAACCCTACCCTCCATTACCCTCGTCTCCGGCACCATTAAGGATGAGGCGCGCCTATGGGCAAAGGCAGGCGCCAAAGGGCTGCATAACATCATCCCCGGCGAGTAGCTGCTAGGTTAGACTTTAGGGCTGAGTAGACCCTTGGTTCCACTCTGCTCCAACGCTCGTGCACCATGCCTCCGGCGTACATGGCCTTGTAAGCGTTGTAATCCCATGCTACATTCTTCTTCTATCAATACAAAGATACGCAGCTTGCATATTCGCGAAAAAAATATATCCAAACCCTACCCGATTAATTATGGGGTAGGGCATGTGTATGTTTTGTGTCCATAGATACGTTCAGACCCTATCCAGTTATCTTATCGATGGGTCATATGTGTTATAAACCTGAGTTACCGCGTCATTTTATGTAAGCTCTGTAGCCCTATCCTCATCAATCTTCCAATAACCAACTTCAACCTATGATTGGATGGTTAGGAGGACAATAGTATCCCCAGCCTACCGACGTTCAAGTCCTAAACTTGACATTGGTGGTCGCATTTTCTTGGATTTGTTTCAAGCCTTTCGGTGATGTGCGTTCAGTGGGAGGAGACGTTTCCGTCGATTACGAAGACGTCTATGGTGACTTCATCTATCAAAAAATGATGTGCCGGCCCAGTCTCTTCAAGGCACTCATAGGGATAGGGTGAGTGTGCGTGTGTTTATATGGACGAGTGTATGTGCGTATTTGTCTGTACTGTGTTTAAAAAAAAACAATTCCACAACCATAGAAATTTTGCATTCTGACAATGTATTCACGTAATATTTTGCATTCTGACAATGTACGGAACATTTTGCATTCTGACAATGTACTCACGTAAATTTGAGACCATCTTTTCAGAATGATTTTTAGATCGCTCACCCGTCCTGACGTAAACTTTAGAACATGTTTGACTTATAAATGGTGATCGGACAAATATACGAAAATGCAAATTATATATTCCGTTCAACGAAAAGAAAAAATACAGCAATAAAAAGTAGTACATTCAATTCCTCATATTGGTTCTGAAGGCTAAACCATGAGGCTAACTTATTCGATCTTAATGCAACTGCATGCGAGATTAACCCGAAGCTTGAGTATATGTCTTTTGCTGAGAATTATTAAATTTTGCTAGCATGCATATATCAAATTATATATTGAGCCTTTCAGGGAAGGCCCCCGCCCAGGAAATTAAAACCCAGCGGTGAACTTGGACTTGAGAAGTTCCACGACCCCGGCCTCCACCCGGAGCGCCTTGGTGAGCACCGGCGTTGGGATGGGCGGGTTGGAGCCGAAGAGCGTGAGTGGCACGAAGACAATGCCGGGGTTCTGGCTGTTGAAGGAGACGACCATGGAGGCCTCGGTCTTCCCGACATTGAACTGGAAGTGCATGAGGCCCCGCGGGATGAGGAACGTCTCTCCGGCGCGCACCACCCTGGAGTAGAGCTTGTTCCCAGAGTCAAGGCTGCCAAGGATTCCAACGAGGAGCTCACCTTTCATCACGATACCGATCTCGGTGGCACGGGGGTGGATGTGCGGCGGATTGGTACCCCCTGGCGCGAAGTCCACGCGGTTCATCGACACGCCCAGCGTGTTCGTACCGGGCCACTTGGCCACGTCGAGCTCCGTCACGGCCGAGCCATTCGGGGTCGACGTGTTGCCAGCCTTGGCCAGCTTGGACGAGAAGAGGAAGTCGTCGCCGGCCTCAGATATGGGCTTGCATGGGTGCCCGTTCACCGAGACCGTCTTGCCATCAAGGTCGGCGACACAGAAGTCCTGGAGAGGATCAGGGTCGGTGGCTAGGACGGTCCAAGCTAGGAACAGCATGGCTAAGAGGCCAGCTACTAGGCTTTTAGAGCACCCCATTGCTTGTTATGCAACTGATTAACTAGAGTTTGTTGATCGAGAGTGTGTAAGGCACTGGTGGTTAAATGCTAAGCTGTGGTGGATGAGTGAGTGGTGAGGCATATGGAGTTGTTTATATAGGGGATCTGTGCACGCAATGGATGCATGGAGCTAGCTATGCATGTGCATGTCGTCATTGCATGCATGTGCAAATGGACACACGATCGAGGCAAGGCTGAGAGTTTATCAAACATACAGCAGGATGTTACTTGCGTCGGGGTCAGGATGAGCTTGCGATGAAAATGGAGATGCTCAGGATCAGAGTCAACAGTCAAGGCCACTGCCGGCTGCTAAGGAAATGGGACCTACGAACAGAGACAATAAGTATTGCGCGTTCATAATATTCGTGCACACCTCTACTCGTCAATCATGCAAATGTGATTCGTCAAGGCTTATCAAGTTCAGGGGTGTGCTAGCTGATGGTGAAATGCCGGTGTCTTCAACCACCAAGTCCTTTGCAACGTGCTGCAAGCTATTGGGTCGGCCGTTGGGTGGTCGCCGGTTTATCTGCAGTTGTGTACTCGCTGAAGGTCAGAATTTTTTTTTAGAGAAGGAGGATGACCCCCGGCCTTTGCATCTGGGCGATGCATACGGCCACTTTATTAATTATTCTCACAAGACCTTACAAAGTCATACAACAATAAGACTAAAGCCGTTGAAGACCTATTACGCCATTTCCGAAAAAAGTGGATCGACCTCCTCTGCCGCTCCCGCGGGCGACAGGGGAGGCCTCCCGCCGCCGCCGGTTCCCGTCCCTCCTCTTCCTCCAGTCCCTTCGCCGCCGCCCAGGCGCTCGGCCGGCGAAGCCTGCCTGGCGGGGCGGCGGCGGGACGCCTCTCCCCTTCGTCGTTTGACTGGCACGGGACGGCCAGATCGATGGAAGGCGTTGGGCTAGCGTGGGGCACGGCGGCGTGGCAGCGTGCGCTCCGGGCGGCGGCGTGCGGTCGGCGCGACGACGCTATGGTGGCGTTCTCGCGGCGCGGTATGCGGCTGCGCCGCCATTGATGGGGCTCGTTGGTTTCGCTCTGGCGGCCAGCGAGGGCTGGATCCCGGGGTGGCGAAGGTTGTGTCGGTGGCTGTGGTCTCGCGACGGGTGATGCAGCGGCCGCGGTGGTGGATGATCCGTGCACAAGACACTTGATGGAGGCCACTGGAACAGATCTGGGTGAAGACCTGCTCGCGGCTGCTGCCGAGGCCGGCGATGGCGGCACTTTTCGGTGTCGTTCCCTTGTTGAAGGCATCGATGTTGAGAAGTTTCAGGCCACTATCTGCTACCTCCGGGGGAAACCCTAGATCAGTAGATCGGATGACGGCGGCACTATTGTGTCGTTTTCCTCTTGTGGCGTCATTCTTGGAGGTGTACACGGGCTCGAGGGACCAGTGGACGGAATAATTGGTGGAGCGGTGCTTCATCATGCACATTAATGGTGGCGTTTCTCGGCGGCGTGGCGCGGTGGAGACTCGGCGCCCGATGTGTGCCGAGGGACTCGTGCAGGAGGGTGCCGTTATCAGGTGCCATGGTGGCGTCGATGGCAGAGAGGCCGGGCGCGCAAGGTGGTGCAGCAGTACACACTGAAGATGGATTGGTGGCAGGTGGCTGCGGCGGCCTCATACCCGGCAGGCGTCCTGGTTGAGGAGTGCGCCGGACTGGTAGGTGCTCCATACCCGGCAGGCGTCCGAGTTGGGACCTCAGGTCTTAGATGTTTAGGTTTGGCTGCGATGTCTGTTTAGTATTAGGCCTAGACTATCAGCGCCCCTTCATCAATTGAATAGGAGTAGCGACAGTTGTTGCATAGACGGTGGCTTTAGTTTTACTGTTGTATCACTTTGTAAGATCTTATGAGAATAATTAATAAAATGGACGTATGCATCACCCAGATACAGAGGCCGGGGTCTTCCTCCTTTTCTAAAAAAAATAGTTTCTTGTTTTGTTTCTCCTCTTGGTGGCTTCGATCGATCGACGACTTGCCAATAATAGCACGTTCCAGCAGAGAACGGATTCTCATTGGCTACTATACGTACGTACGTTCCTGATGAGCGAGCAAATCAATGCCCTCTTCCTGTCACCACACAGTTTAAATATTCGCGGGACGCCAGCGAAGCAACGAAAACATGCTTGTCAGTGACAATCAACGAGCCTGTTTTGTTGCAGGTCAGACTCTCTGACCGTGTTCGATCCATCCTCTCCCTTTCTCCGAGTCTCCGGCTGGCCCCTCCCCCAGTTCGCGTCCCGGCAAGCACCCGACCCATCAATCATGCATCACCGATAGAGGCCTTCCGCTTCTCGCCATGCATATCTCGATCGTGTCAACTCGAAAGGCAGAACATTTCTACCGAGTGTTGCAAGGCACCCTCATGTTTTACTAGCTCATACTTTGACTAGCAAGGGAATATTGTACAGAGGCTGCATCAATTAATCCGGGTCGCAGGGAGTGTGAAATTTGTGTTTAGAAGGACAAAAAATTCTTATACTCTTATTACAATTTTGACCCGTACATTATTTTAGTAGCCAATGTTCGACCCAAAATAGTACAATGCCTTACAAACCATGATAGAGGGAGTATATATGTCGTGTAGACTGCATTTTACTCGCAAAATTGCTAAAAACTAAACTTTACACTGCCATTGCCCATGTCTATTACACATCTAACCTAAACGCCATTACGTTTGGTGTTTAGCAAATGCGCCGATCATGCTAAAATTTTGAACATAGTTTCCTGTTTACAAATTTTAGGCTACAAATTGTTGTTGTCTCAAACACCAATGGCAAGCACTGATACATTTCTCATCATTAAACATAACGGACTCACGCCCTGGTCTGTCGAGCTATCTCAATCTCTTCTTACACCCTGGAACCAACACGCGGTTGTATTTCTATTCCACCAGTGACCGCTTCGATAGCAAAGTCCTTGCTGACTTCGCCATTCTTGAAGCTCCACGATTCTAGTATACACGCTCACTTATCCTTCCCACCTTGACATTTTTCGAACATACCTCCGCTTTCAAAGTACAAGTGTGTTGGGATTTTGAAAACTCAAACTTCTTCTTTGTAAAAGTTTATTTTGTTATTTTCCAAAATGTGTATTAATCTTTTGAAAAATTAACAAAATATAAGGTGTATTGTTTTTTTCTAGAAGTCAAACTTCTAATTCTTTCTTAAAAATAAAGTATCTTCAATATTTTGAAACGGAGGGAGTATGAATTAATAGTTGAGGGTACTGATGTGGCATTTTTGTATTAGTACTTATATGAACTAAAATGGTGGTGGACTGGTGGGTAGTTGTGTTTATCCTTCTACCTTGCCATTTCTGCCTGAGTTTTCGAAGCCTGGACGAAATCAAGATGATCGATCAATGAGTAGAGGTGTGCACGAATCTTGTGAACATCTGTTTCCAAGCGCAATACTCCATTAGAGATACACCTCCTTGTTGTCTCCGTTGGCAGGTCCCATTTCCTTAGCAGCCGGTATGGCCTTGACTTCTGACCTCGGGCCATCTCCATTTTCATCAGAAGGTGAGATCTCGACGCCAATAATATCAATAATATACTCTATCCTCTGCTTCCAGTGTTCCCACATGCGGTGAAGACATGCATAGCGAGCACCATGCATGCACATGCATAAATGAATGCACTGATCTAGGCCCAATAATATCAATAATACTCCCTCCGTCCCAAAATAAGTGTCTCAAGTTTAATACAACTTTGTACTAGAGTTGGTACAAAGTTGAGACATTTATTTTAGGACGGAGGGAGTATACTCTATCCTCAGCACACTAAGAGCATTACTAGTAGTACCCCTAAACCCTCAAACCCTCAAAAAAGAGTAAGGGTCCAACCCTCAAACCCAATTTCAAACCGTAGAAGTGAGGGTTGGAGGGGGGCGCTCGACCCCAGCCCGCACTCCCTTCCCCCGTCGCGCGGGAGGGAAGTTTCCCCTCCCCAACCTCCCGCTTCCTCCCTCCCACGCCGCCGGC